ACATACATACACACACACACACAGAGACATACATACATACATACATACATACATACATACATACATACATACATACATACATACATACATACATACATACATACATACACACACGGACATACATACGCACGTGCATACATACGTACATACATACATACATACATACATACATACATACATACAGGCCTACATACATTCCATACAGGCGTTCTAGTACAGGTTTGCATGCGCATGCCTGAACAAAACATGTATGATGGTGCCCGCAACACAGATTCGAGATTGAGGGTCGCTCGAAAAAAGGTTAGCAGGGAATAGGGTTCTGCGCAGTTTAGGCATGGGTTACCTAGCCACCCCTCTCGGAATGTGGCTGGAGAACTAGAATATGCTTTGGGTATATTATAATAAGATCCCCACATAAACCAAATTCTATCTACTTAAGGGGGACTACAATCAAAGGGCAATCTGGTTGAAGTGAAATCTCGCTCCGCCCTCAGCCTCGAGGTTGCCAAGAAAGGAAAGGAGTAACCAAAAATACCCTAATTATTGTAAGCCCCGCACCATGTACTAGGATGCATGTGTGCTCCAAACTTAAGCAGCATGCCTGAGGATATGTCACGTTTGCGAAAAACGATTTCAGGATCGTCTTCAACAAGGGATTTTGCAATTGGGCCTTTCTGGTATTTCCAAAACAATCCATCCCGACATACGGATCATTTTTTGAAGCACCATCTAGTTGGACACGAAGTGGGGAAGCACCAGCTCTTGTATCCAGACCTACGCACGCTACAAACGAAGAAGAAACTTACCTGCAACAAATGGGTACAAAACACAAAGTCACGTAGACATGGACTGGTTTGTGAAGATACAGCAAAGAAAAGTGTCTAGACCCCCCTGTATTCTAGAGATTTTCCGGACAAGGATGATGGCAGGCCCCACTTCTTTGTCTCGCATACGTAGGATTAGACCGGGGGCCCAAAATGTCGAGGAGCCTCAACCTTAAACCCCACCCAGCTTCCAAGAAACTGTCTGATGCCTCGGCCAGAAGCGCCTCTGGCACTCACCTTGAATGCTGTTGACTTGCTATGAAAAAGTTCGTGTTCACGCTATACTGGGTGCATTTCAGGTAAAAATTCATGTTAAACGCTTTTTACAACAATAAGCCAGGCACGGCTGCAGAATCGCACGCAGCCGCAGGAACTACAAAGGAAGAGCTCGGCTGTTGCTGACGTGGCTTTGCACACGGCGCAGCTATAGGGGCTGTGGAGTAAGGCAAGGGTATGCAGGCTGGAGGTGCTAGGCTGCAAGGCTTTTTGAGTACGCAGCTGCTTCTTAGCCTCCTTCTGCTTCAGGGCAGCACGAAGTTCGGAGGGCTCTGGCTGCGGCTGCTCCTCTTCCAATTTTGTCGCGCTCCGGGCCTCTTCTGCCAGACCGTGGGTCACCATCTTTAGGAAGGTCTTCTGATTGGTGGCGATGGCCTTCATGAGCTCAGGATCTTTCTGGGTCATCTCCTGCAAAAAATTCTCCAAAGCAGTCATGTCCTGCCGAATCTGTCTGCGCAGCGTCTTGATTTCGTCGCTTTGAGCGAAACGGTCTAGGATTGCCTGGTCTTCTGCCGAAATCTTTGGAACCTCCTCCAAGGAACCGTTCGAGGCTGACTGGCTGGATGATGCTGCTGGCTGCACCGTTCGTGTTGGGGCCCGTGCCGGTGTGGGACCTGGCCGGACATCCGGCGGCCGCCCTGGATCCAGCGGCTCGTTGGGCTTCGGGCGGGGAGCATCCGGCCAGTACTTTGCAATCTCCCCATGCTCTGCAACTACCCTGCTCTTGGCTCCCCTTGCAGCTGCTGCCCGCTGCTCTCGAAGCCAAAACCCCTGGGCGCCCTTCATTGCGCAAGGACTCCTGCTATCGCTTTCCGCAGCAATGAGGCTGGAGCTGAAATTTAGTGTGCTGTGACAGGCTGTGACTTCCCAAGGGCTGAGTAGTGGTTCCAACATCTGTTGCAGTGCTTGGACTTAATTCTCATTGAAAAGCTCTGAGACAAACTCTGTGTCAGCGTGTCAGTGCAAGACCCTTACATAGTCTGCATAGTTTATCTGCAGCTGGCGCTTCTCCCATCGTTGTTACGAAACAGCTGCTGCTTGGGGCTGGTAAGCCATGTTCAAGAAAGGCGCATTTAGTCTTCATCTAGCACAAGCCAACATCTTGCAACTTGGCTTTGTCTTTCACCATGGGGTGAACGTCGCGTAGAACTTTGAGGCACCCTCGCAAAACTGGCCCTTGATAAACTGCTTGTGGACTGTAGTACCCATATTAGGCTGTGTTGAAGTCATTTTCGGAAGTCCCCCCAGCCCGAAACCCTCCAAACCCTGGAAACCGCCTCTACTTTATAGACCCTACAAACCCAGAACCCGAACCCTAAACCCCTAACGACTAAAACTTTAAACCCCTAAACCTGTAAAGAGTTGAGGTTGTAGGGGTGCAACATCAGGCGACCCGGGAACTTGATTCTCGGCTGGCTTCCGACCGTGTCATCCATAGAGTGGGGATCTAAAAACGTTGAAATGGTGTTTAGGGTTTAGGGGTTTAGGGCTTGGCGTATATGATAATATACTATATGGTAGTTTCCCAAAATAAGGGGACCCCAATATAGACCCCAAAATACTATAGCCCTTATTCTAGGGACCCCCAAAAAGGTACCCCTAATGTTGGGAAACTACCATATAATACGTCTATAGTTACACAAGGATTCTGGGGGATAGCACTGATGGTTATTTCACGCTTCTTCAGAAATTGGCCCTTGAACGCTGCAGGATACTGGATCAAGGCTTGAAACAGGTGATGTCTACCTTGGGTATTGTCCACGCCCAGTGACAACAGTCTATACTAGGGGGGAATGATACATAATACAGGGCTATGGCCAATTATACCAGCTGTTGCTGAGTATACGTACCTAATATCTACATGGTTTTGCCTTCTCCAAACCTTAAACCCCAAAGCCTGAACCCTACACCCTGAATCCTAAACCCTAAAACCTTAAACCCTAAACCTTAAACCCTAAACCTTAAACCCTAAACCCTAAACCCCAAACCCTGGTTATGGACCCAAGCTATCCCGGCCTTGCACTGCACAAGGAACTTTAAAGCCGAACCCGCGGTTTAGGGTTTAGGGTTTAGGCCCCCCCCCGGCCTGTAATAGGTTTAGTGTTTAGGGTTTAGGATGAAGGGTTTAGGGTTCTGGGTATATGAACTATAATCTAAACTCCTAGCATGTCCCTTAAAACTCCCTATAATACTCCCCTGTAGAATCCCTGATATGACCGCCTTTAAGGAGTTTAGACTATAGCGCATAAAAGAGTTATAAGCAGACCCTTATATGACAAGCACGCGTACTGATCCTCAAGCACGGGTTACGGGTCCATAAACTCTATGGCGATCAATCCGGACTTCCTCCCCAAATCCCCCCAAAGCCCGGCTGAGCAGAGAGTACTGGAAAGCTTCTCCAGAACTTCCGCCTCATTTCTAGGCCGACTAACAGTGCTAGCACCTAGCACTGCCAAAGCCGTATCAATAACCCTCAACCCTAAACCCGTACCCCCTAAACCCTGAAACTCTGAACCCTAAAAGCCTGATGACCACCACCCATGAGCCTGAAAGCCAGCCCACCCTTCTGCAACGGGCCGCGCATCTTTGCGTGGATCCGGCTTTACCCTGAACGTTGAACCCTTGAGTCCCCCTTAAGTGGATAGAATATGGGGAATATGGGGATCTTATTACAACATGCCCAAAGCCGTATCCTATCTACTTAAGGGGGACTATAGACCTAAACCTTCCAAGCACCCGTAACACCAAGCCTTGAGCCTTACATGCCATATCCCGAACATCAGACGATAACCTGAAGTTATAAACCCTAAACCCTAAACCGCAAGCATTCCTCGGCCGTAGAATCTAAAGCAAAAACCTGACCCATACATGGGTCCCAAAAATAGGGGTAGCCTTTTGGAGGTCTCATGATTCAGGATTACAATATTTTGGGGTCTATGTTAGGGTCGCCTTTAAGGAAAATACCAAATCAAAAAGGAGCTAAAACCTAAACCCCCCAAACACCACGCTCTAAGCTGCCTGAGGATGGTCTTCAGCCAGACTCCGAATCTTTGGCCTTGGGCAGAGCTCAATCAGGCTTTGAGCAGGTTTAGTGTGCCGGACTTGGGGTTTGAGACCTCCGCGTTGCGATTGAAGGTTTTAGGTTTTGGGCTTTGAAACTACAAAGCCTTTAGGGCGTTGGATTCTTCTTGGTGCCTGAGTCGTTGTGCCTACCTGTCCAACTTCCTGGGACACGTTCAGTCGGGACTCATGCCCATAGGCGTCTGAAGTAAGTTTGGGCTTGCAGAGATTCAGGGATTCAAGCGCAGCGTTCGTTAAGGCGGCTAGACTTCAGGAAATGGAGGAGCTGAACGGGCCTAATAAAATTGACTTCTTGCAAGAGCCAATCGGCTGTTTCCAAAATCAGGGATCTCTGTTGGAGAGTCCCTATGACAAGTATTAGAATTTTTGGCGGACATGGCAAGGGTTTAGTGAGGGTTTAGGGCAACTTTCCCGGAAGCCAAGTCGGAAGGAAAGGCTGTCTTGCAACAAGAGACCTCTGGTCACCCCTGTATCACTCCAACTGCCTGCAAGCCGAGGTCTTACTATATTGTCTACAGCCAATACTTCCTTAGGTACTGCTTTGTGAATGACAGGGGTGGTTATTGGAGAAAGAAAAATGTGTACATATACATATATGCGGGACAAATGATATCAAAGTGCCGAAGGTAGTAAGGTAGAAGCCTGAGCAATTACCATTATACATTCTCAAGCCTATAGCACCATTAGTATACTGTGTACTAAAACCCTATTCTAATCATTCCGCGAATAGACATTAGGCTGCATCCATGCCGGCCACCTTCGTGCTGAAAACAGCTTTTTAATCGCAGGAACAGGAGGCCATAGCTGTCAAAAGCTAACTGTTCCTTCCAGTCAACATTGAAGGAGCACATCCTGTAACCTTGACGACCCAACTTCAAGGGTGCACCAAAGAGCCCTTGAACAGATCTGGGTACCGCACGCCACGCCGACAGTGCTGACTGTCAATGCCTCTTGACTTGCAATTAATGGTTCTCTCGGTTCCGTAGCACCGTCTAGAGTTGTAAGCGGGGCATTATATCCTCACTGAAAACTTCCATTACATGCGTTGGGACCCGCGTTCTGCAGAACTCCCGGGAATTCAAAACTAGATCCCCTGTACACCCGCGGTGACCCGACGACAATCCTCAGCCGAAACGGTCCATAATTTTGCATCCATTCAGGGTATCAGGTGTACGCAGTTTCTGACGTGTGGTGACATACGGGGCCTGTATCAAACCTCGTGCGCGATCTTGGCATATACAACTACATAGGGCAAACCTGAGAAATAACTTATAACTACCAGGACTGCCTAGAACCTTTTATACTACTGTATACAACGCTCATGCAGGGGCCCTGCATCTACTTGCTGGCTTTTTTTTTGTAAGGATTGGAGGGATGGATTCCTAGATTCTTACAATAATCATAAATTAATAGTTTCCGTGTGCTTTTCCATTCCTTCACTCCCATTCATTCCCTGCGAACAACCAATCACTTCTTAATACGGTTGCCCTGCTACCCCCCCGTTACTACACTATAGTTTCTCCCTTAATCAGGGTCATTACATCAATTTTGGAAAATTAGGGCCAAGCTGTCGGGAACCTAGAAGGTCAGTCGGTACCAGGTCGGAGGAGCGGATTCTAGGGAAACCCATGAACCCTAAATCCTGAACCCTAAACCCTGTGCCCTTTACTCCCTAGATTGTTCCGTCAGCCTATCATCATGGGCTCATGCCTGAGACAACCAGTGCTGAAGGGCGAGCCGGGGAGAAAACGGCTGTAATCTTCTCTTGTGGCAGTTCCTCCCCTAAACCGGAAAAAGTGCGGCGAGCCCCTAGGGACCCTGGAAACCTATTGGGAAGATGTAGGTAGTCTATGGTCTCGCTTAAAGGATAAAGGGATCATCTCGAGACACTCACGTACATGATGTTTACGTAGCCTATGACGAATCTACATTCACTCCCCCCATTCCCCCTTCTGCAGCAGTCGGCAGATGAGAGGCTGGAAATTTGAGAGCCTGCACCGCTTAGCGCCCAGGCTTAAAAGGCTTGAAGTTTATAGTCCCCCTGAAGAAGATAGAATATGGCTTTGGGTGAATATAATAAGATTCCCATATACCCCATATTCTATCTACTTAAGGGAAACTGTAACCCTAACCCTAAACCCTAAACAGTAGCTTCCATCTTCTTCTCCACTATCCCTATATATACCCATATTCTATCTACTTAAGGGGACTATACAAGGAGCCAGAGCTCAAGTAGGTGGCAAGGCAAGGATCAACGGTAAAGCCTTTGCAGCTCACGGCCGTCAAATACCCTCGCCGACACCATGTCCCAGAGGGTCCAAGTACCCAATAATTAGGTACTTGGGATTTTGGTAATAATAGTTATAGTATAGGTTTTGGGTAAGTATATGATTATTAAGTACTTGGACCCTTGGGGTGCGAGCATCAGAACGCTCTGTCACTGGTAGCTGGTACGAAATCCTGCATGATTTTCTGTGTAAAAATATATTAAATTCCAAGGGCATAAAATACTTAGGGCCATGCAGGATTTCTAATATACATCGCAACACATGGTAGTTTCCCTTAATAGGGGGACCCCAATATAGACCCCAAAATACTATAGTCCTTATTATGGGGACCCCCAAAATGGTACCCCTAATTTTGGGAAACCCCAAACCCTATAATCCCCTATATAACCCCAGTTTCCATTTCATTTTCCATTTTCT